TTTTCTGAGGACCTTTTTTTGTACCACGATACACTTCCACAAATATGTATTATGAAGAGCAGACTGGTAGATCCTGTTCTTTAAATCAAACAGGGTGCCCACTCACGCCTGATCATCATCCTATTTATTGAAAACCCCTTAACTATTTTCATCTTCAAATTAACTGCTAATCCTAGAGGTTCACATACTCTTGCCACTCACAAATATGTAATATTGGATCGTTTTCCTCAATAAATAAATGACCAAGTGTAATATTCGGATGCATGCTCAATAATCCAGGTAGAAAAATCTAAAAAAGTTAAGTCTGTTCCTCTGGACATTCAAATAACAAAACAAAATAGTAGAAATGTTTCTTCTTTCATCCGAAAGATTTCTTCAGACTGAAGAAGTCTTTCGGATGAAAGACGGAGCGTTGCTATTATTTTTTTGGTTTTGTTTTATTTGAATGTCCAGAGGAACAGACTTAACTTTTTTAGACCAAATATAATATTTTATCCTGTTTTTAGTTTTCTATGTTCACCTTAGAATCTAGCTGTTTTTACTTTTTTGACATCTTATTTTAATTTGTAAAAAAAAAAAACATCTGTACGCCTCTTTCATACTAGTCTATTGTTGTCGCTGTTGTCCATTGTTGTCATCACTCTGTTGAAATCAGTTCTCTCTTGTAAATGAGTTCTCGAGGCTCAATGGGATTAACCTGTCTAAATAAAGGTTGAATGAAAATTTTTTGTCTTTGTTTAACTGGGTTTTCTTTAGCCCTATTCGCACTGGATTAGTTTTACCTAGGGACCATATGCTATTTGTAATAATTACAGAGATCGTCTGTGTTGTTAATCCCATATGAATCGGCCATGTCTGTAATTTGTAAAGTAAAAATTCCACTGCAAATTACCTACTATATTTTGCTGAACTCCAAGGTCCTGTGATAATACTAATCTAATGCGAATAGGCATCTCTGTGATTTGGACAGAAATGGGCAGGATCCGATACATAACTAGGCTTTTTTGTTTGTTTGTTTGTTTTTGTTTAAGCAAAATGGTTTGGAAAAACATAGAACAAGACTATTTTAAATGAACGCGCTGCTCGCGTCAGCTTTTGTAGATGCTGCTTCCTTCACCGCAAATGACAGCATGTGCGGAGACGCGCGCATGATCATCTGACCCATCCATCCATTATATTTACCCGCTTCTTCCTTTTCGGGTAGCGGAAGTCGCTGGTGCCCATGTCCAGCCATCACTGTGCGAGAGGCGGGGACACCCTCGACAGGGCACAAGTCCATTTCAACCGACGGGTCAGCGGACGCTATTGCGCGCGGCCGGTGACATGTTGTCCATCTAAGCTTAACGTGGCTCTTTTTTTTTTTTTTACCTCTTAAACTGTCTGGTTGGACCTGCCTCCTCCTCAACAATTAGATTAACACAATTTTATATTGTGCATTCTTTAGTTTTCTTTGTGCTGGTTCGTAAAACATCAAAGCCTGACACCGTCCTGGCCCGCAGATTATTATGGACCGGCCCGGTCGTGACAACGCAGCGTGTTAACAACATATCCGGAAGATGTCCGTAAATTTCAGCTAAATCTCAGGCTTTGGTTATCGTGTGCGAATGCGCCACATAAAAAGCAGACGTTGGAGTCTGTAACATACATGTACATACAGCATACACGTGGTTCCTAGGTAAAACTAATCCTGCGCGAATAGGGCTTTTAAGTACTTTCAGGACTTGTGTGAAAATCTGATGAAGTTTTAAGTCATATTTATGCAGAAATATAGAAAATTCTAAAGGGTTCACATACTTTCAAGCACAATTGTGTTTGCTGTGGCTGTTTTTTTTTTTTTTTTTTTTTTTTTTTTGGTTTTGTTTTTTTAACAACCACTGCATATTTGTCTTGTAAGAGGAGGGGTGCCAGCGTTGCCCTTACAAATCCATCTTTTGTGTTTTGTCATGGCAGAACTGCTGCACTGAGTCATGTTCTTGCACTGCAAAAAAAAACAACAACTATAAACAAACAGGTGTACAGATGATGCACATGTGAATGAGCTTTAAATGTTCCAAGCCTCAAAGATTTTAAGCTACAACACACACAGACTGCTGCTTGATTCTTTATTTATTTTTCTTTCTTTCTCACACTTTTTCTCTATTTCTCTCTCTCTTTCTTTCTCTCTCTCTTTCTTTCTGCCTCTCTGCCTCGCTGCTTCCTTGGCAAGTCTAACGTTGGGCTTTATTTTTCCTAATAACCTGACAGATACCCACTGAGCTACTTAATGTGTATATTTTCAGTCGCCCACAACTGTGCAAGACGTATGATGCACTTTTCAAACCACTGCAGATGAAACTAGGTTGTGATATTTAAAAACTGATCGCATAAGAAGTTTCCACATGGCTTGCTGGCTATGAGTTATCCATCCACCATAAGCAAGATCTTTGGCCTTTTTTTTTAATTTATTTTTTTTGGTGAATCACTTTGTTCAGTCAAATATACTGTTATGTTTGACAAACAATTTTATCTTAAGCATTTTTTAGAACAAAAAGATATTTTACAGATTTTAGGCCTCATTGACTATAATGTTGTACCATTACACATCCTCTGGTCTTTTGTCACATGCTACATGATTACAAAAAATAAACTTTTCTGTCTGTATTTAATATTTCTATTGCAATTTTTTACCGACGCACTGCATTTCCTAAAAGTTGTGGAGACGTTCTATGGTGGTATGTGAGAAAATAAATGTCTCCCAATATTTACACTATTTTATTAAAGTTTTCATAAAATAAGCAGGAGAAACAAATGTAAAAGTGCAGCAGCTGCTCTGTTTTATTAAACTTAAGCAGCCCCCCAAAAAACTGTTAATGTGTGCTTTTAGGGTTAGAGGGCATAGATTGTAGTGTAAAGCGCTTTGAGTATCTTGATAAGTTAGAAAGGCGCTATATAAGTACAGTCCATTTGTAGTCTATTTACTCAGTATGAACCAATCAAATATTTTGTTTTCCCTGCACGGCTGGTGCAGCGAGCTCTCATTGGAGAAGAGTTAAGAAGGAAAAGAGAGGAAGAGTAGACATGTCATGCTCCAAAATGAGAAAAGTTTATGCTGAAAACCGCTGTTGTAAAGATGATTGGACAGAGAAATGTATGTTTATTCTTACTGGCAGGACAATCCCATGTCCATTTATCTTATTAAGAAAAGTAAAATAAAGCATACTCAAAAGAGAAAAGGTGTTGTTAAAAGCTCTGTTTTCAGTTTTTTCCTAAAAGAGCCATTTTTAATTGTTTTCTGAAGATACTGATGTACTCCTTTACATGCCTATAAAGTCCTATTTTTGTTATTTATTTATTGATTTGCCCTTTCCACTGCAGTTTTACACAATGTATACAACTTAGTGTAAGATAGACCTGATGCATATTCTTTGTAGAGTGTAGAGCAAGTTTATAATAGTTCAGAAACTTATGTGTTATGTCATGGAATTGCAAGTGTTGTAGCCAAAGACATTTCTACAAGACCTGGTGGACATAAGGGATATGTCTCACTTAGCTTCAGATGCAATTTGAAAAGGTAAAATGTAGGGGTGTAACGGTACGCTAAAATCACATTCCGGTTCAGTTCAGTTTCAAGGAGTGCTCGGTTCGGTTCATTTTCGGTACAAAAAAGGCCCAAATAAAGACTTACAAAATGTTTATTTTGACAATTTGCTTGTATAAAAATAAATAAAAGCAACCCATTTGGATGATATTTTAAATAAACGGCACTCTTAATTTTAAATTAAAAACGTTAATTAGATAATAATAATAAAATAACAATACCTCTTCTTGAACGATCATCATTTCTGTTATGAGGTGGTTGAATATCCTCTCCCTCATCGTCATTGATGTGGCAGGGCTTTAAATCTGGGCTTCAGGGCTTGTTGACAATGTCAGTTTTTGCTTTTTCATAAAGTGCTGGTACAACTTTTTGGCTGAAGTGTTGACGTGATGGGATGTCATAGGCAGCGGGGCTCAAGCACTTATGTGCTTAAGGCCGGCGCATCAACAACAGAATAAGGACGTAGATCGATAGCTTTAAAAACTCCTATAGCTTGTGCTATTGCTTTGGACCGATCTGAATTACCTGATAAAGGTTGTTTAAATGCTGCTGCTGTTATTGGTCTTTGCACCAAGCTGCTATTCTGTAGAAGAGATGTTCACATTCGGATGATGTCGTTTCATATGTGTTAACAAGTTAGACGGGTTGCCTGCTGCAGATCCAATCTCCGTGAAACGACGTCGGCACACAGCTTTGGATTTGCACTTGTCTTTTAACAAGAAAGCTATAATGTTCCCAAACAGGAGACCGCAACGAGATGCTAGGATGCTAATGATACCCGTGCTGCAAGACTATAGCGCCGTGCTGAAACACGCTTAGGAACTTTAGTTCCACAGCGCATAATTTCTCGCTAATAAAATTTAATGAGTGAAAAAGATCACAGAAACGGTACGCACGTGGACCGAACTGAACATGCCGCACCGAAACGGTTCAATACACCCACGTGTACCGTTACACCACTAGTAAAATGTGAGCTGCAGATTGTACAGACCAGCAGTAATGGGGCAGTCTGCAAAATGGAGCAGTGAGGTACTGCTGCAGTATTTAATGTTCTTTCTTTCCCCAATTCAAACTGTGCCTAAACTTGTCACAAATTATAAAAATTAACAGTTATATAGCGTTTCTGTTTAAATTACCACTCTTAATTTTGTCTGATGAAACTGAATGACTTTAACATCACCACCATTGTCACCAGTCCATTAGCTAATGTTCATTTTCTTATGTATCAGTGTGTCGGTTTGAGAGTAAACAAAATTATTTTTGTTCTACCAAAGGACCTATTTTCAGTTAACCCTTTTTTCCCCTTTGTCGTAGGTTTTCATCTTGCTGAGATGCAACATTTTTGCCCTCTAACTACAGCTTTCTCTTGAGATATGACTGTTAAAGTAACTGTCAATGTGTTCTTTCTTTCTTTTTCTTTCAGTTTTACAAGCATGTTGTCCAGAGTGTAGAGAAGTTCATACAAAAGGTAAGTTACACCCCATTTAACCGAACACCATCAAAAATTTACTGTAAGCATGATTTCCTACTGTTTTATGGACAATGTTAGATGGAGCATTTGATAATAAAGCTTTGGTAGTTGCACTGTAAAAAGCAATTCATCTTTTTTATTTTGATGTACCAAGTTTTGATGTTCCTATTTATGATACTCTGATTTAAGCAACAAATTCATGGATATGATGACGTTGCTTCTTACATTTCCTCTACAGTGCAAGCCAGAATACAAAGTTCCCGGGCTGTATGTCATCGACTCCATAGTCAGACAGTCACGCCACCAGTTTGGAACAGAGAAAGATGTTTTTGCCCCGCGCTTCAGCAAGAATATCATTGCAACCTTCCAGCACCTCTACCGCTGCCCTTCAGATGATAAGGTCAGACAGTTTGCACTAGTTTTTTTTGCTGTTTTCCTTCTGTTGGTTGTGGTTTCTCAATATACAACAAGAGTTTGTGTAAAAAAAAAACACTTTATATTTAAAAAGTATGGTTTAAAGAAATATATCAAAAATAGGCTGTAGGAATATTTGGTCAGTTTCTTCATGTAAATGGATCAGAAGTTGATGAAATGTTACATTTCTTCCTTTTTTTATTTTGTATTTTTTGTTTACCCTCTAACCGTGCAGTTTGGTTCTACAATTACAATTATTGAAGTCCTTACGGTACACTAGAAGATGAAAAGAAATTTCACATAAATATCCTTCATTTATTTCAACTCAGCCTAAGTGCGCCTGATTAAAATATGTGACAAACGCTGCATTTTATTTTATATTTTGCTTTTTACGAAGAACCTCTACCTTCCTGTTTTCTTATACAGCCTTTTCAATAACTTTTAGAGCAGGAGGCTTAACGGCTCAGAGTAGGAGCCTGGAGTCATTTCCCAACATAAACACATAGATGTTCTGTGCAGTGAGAATGTTAGGAACGCAGACTGTTTAAACACAGATGAACATGTCTTACCAGCATCACAGGTATGAAAACACTTATAAAGTCATTATCAGCAGCAGCAGTTAATCAATAACGTATATTTTCAAGAACCTAATAACGAATAAATTCACAATGAATTTGTTTTTATTCTTCATCTTGAAAGCAGTATATGTAGTAAAATGTCCCTCCTGAGTGCATGCAGCTCAGAAACTTCACTTTGTTTGCTGTAATGCAGTTATACTTGTGTAAACTACTTGTTTTCAGTCAGACTTATTGTGTCTCCCAGTCTTCAAACATTGGGGGGGGGGGGGGGGGGCTAATAATTTTTTGATTTTAAACCATTTTCTTTATATATGTCCAAATATACGAGCAAGCTGCAGGTGCCGCTGCACCCAGTACTTCCTGCCTTCAGATAAACGTGTCTGCCGTGGAACTTCTTGATTCTGCAGCTTGCATGCTTGTGGAACCATTTTTTAGTACTAAATGTTCCTTGTGCACATTACAAGTGAATTTTTATTCTTTACATCCAAACTAAAACAATTTTGTTTGACAAGATCAGAGGCGGGACTCTGCAGCAACCTTTGTCTGGGAAAGATGTACCACTTAAGTTGAACTGCATCTCAGATTTTTACAGAGGCTCTCAAATATAAATGTGGAGCACCATCTAGTGGGCTACTAGAAAAATTGGAAGTTTAGTAAAATTAAAAAAAATGTATAAAGAATGTTTCACTCATTAATTACAGTATGTTACCTCACCCCAAGGAATCTGAGATGAGTGGAAAGTCAATTCAATTTAAATTCAATTCAAAAATACTTTATTAATCCCAAAGGGAAATTAATTGTTGTTGTAGCTCATCCTGGATTAATTAGTTGTTCTAAATGCTGATGGCTTTGGGCAGGAAGGATATCTTGTAGCAGTTCGTCCCACAACATATCTGAAGAAACTGGCTGCAGATGCCAAAGTATGTTCATTCTGGGTCAAAAATGCAAATATTGATGGAGGATCAAGGTTGGACTGAGAATTTATGCAGTTTATGACAAATGTCTGTGCCGGTCCGTACCCAATGAAATGAGATCTATACTACATCCACCGATGGCAAAAATGGCAAGGAACCCTCTGGAGTCCATGGTGAAATCAGACATTTTTGGACTAATATTGATTTTACATTCATATTTCACCCTGAAAATTGTTTAACCTGCCATGATTGGTATCATTTAGTTCAGCACAACATCCCATGTGTGAATTTTGAGTTTTATTTTTACTTCTGACCTACTGTATTAACACAATAGCCCTAAAATCACATAAAAAAAACATAAAATACATGCAGGAAAATTACTTTATTTTCTTTTACTGTGAAAATCGCACATTTGTAATGAATTGTTTTTACAACTTAGAATGCAAATATAAACAGCAATGTTCAAAAATGTGTATAAAGTTAGCAAACAATGAAGTTACATCCACTATTTCCATTGAAATGCAGCCATTTACTCAGGCTATGAGATGTTACAATAAAATGCCATCAGTCATTTTTGACACTCATAATAAAAACAGTTTCTGTCCAAACCAAGGCAAAGGGGCACATCACATCCCTGTTTTTGGTCATTTTCTATGTCCTGCTCAGGATCACTGTTATTGAGAAGGATGCTGGTATCAAACAATCTTTTCAATAGAATAGACTTCTTTTAACAGTGTTCTTGCATTTTACTCGTTTGTCACAGTTGTCCTGTGTTTTGTTACTTGTCCAGAGTAAGATCGTGCGAGTCCTGAATCTGTGGCAGAAGAATGCCGTCTTTAAGAGTGACATCATTCAGCCTCTGTTGGACATGGCTGCAGGGATTCCTCCTCCCAGCTCTACACCTGTCCTGCCTAGCAGTGCTGCTCCAATTAATAACGCTACACCTGGTAAGAAAGAGCACACAAGAAACGCACTGAGGAATTTATTTCATGTCATGTTTCATGTTGTAATTATCACTTCCCATTTATTCAGGCACCCCAGCTACACCTGCTACTCCAGCAAACATTGTCCAAGGTCTGCCTGACTGGGCATCACAAATTACAAACACAGATACTGTTGCTGCCGTTGCACAGATCTTACAGAGTCCCCAAGGACAGCAGGTTAGTGGGCAGGCCTCCTAATCAAAATTAAAAGTTGCTTTGGTTAAAAAGAAAAGCAAAGACTACACAAAAGTTGAAAGAGGCAAAGAAGAAACATTGCTTCAACAACATGTTAATATGTGGTTAGAGTTTGCAAGTTTGAACGTGTAAATTGATTCTTCTTGTCCAGTAATAAATGTTTAATGTTAAAGACTATTAAACTGTATATCTCTGATAATGGGTCATGAATTTTATGATAGTTTACCTTTTTTTTTTTTGTTGTCGCCTCTGAATGATGTATACAATCAGCATACGTGTCAGTGTTAAATTGTGTTGAATACTCTGCATTGTGTTCTGTTCTAGCTTCAGCAGTTAGTCCAGAGTCTGCAGATGCAGCAGCAGAAGCCGCAGCCGTCCCTGCTGCAGGCCTTGGACGCTGGCCTGGTGGTACAGTTGCAAGCTTTGACAGCTCAGCTTACTGCTGCAGCCACTGCCAACAGCCTCAACCCTCTAGAGCAGAGGGTTTCCTCTTTTAATAAGGTAACACTGCCAAAAGCAGCTATTAATGTCTTATTTTTTTATGATTTATTGAGTCTCCTTATGTGATTGTTTTCTTTTTGCTGCAGAAACTTTTGGGTCCTTTTGACTTTGGGAATGATTCTGAACGCAGTGAAGAACCTAAAAAAGATGCCTCATCTTCTCAGCTGTAAGATTTGTGGGGGGGTGTTTTAATTCTTCCATACTAAACATTTCAGTAGTGATTTAGATTTAATGTTACTTCAGTATTTCTGTCAGTTTCACTCAGTGCTAGAGTCTAATTAAGCTGCTGACTACTTCTTAGGCCCATGGTGTCCGAGCCCATTAACAGCTCACTCTTTCATCAACTGGCTGAGCAACTGCAGCAGCAAAACCTGGAACAGTTTCAGAAGCAGCTGCTGGAGCACCAGCAGAAGGTAAAACATATACACAAAGAGACCGCACTGACTTATTGTTAAGCATGTTTTTTTTTTTCAATTATTATTATTAATGCACTGCCTGTGATTACTGACAAAGATTATATGTTGAATTCATTCATTCAACCGTTATTTAGACAGATAAGTCACATTGAGCCTAGAAGACTCATTTACAAGTGAGATCTGTTTAGACAGACCAAAAAAAAAAAAAAACGAATTCTGCTGAAGTTGCTCTCATCTCTTGTTAACCTGATACTTTGTTGTTTCAGCTTTTGTTTTAAAGTTGTGCGCTCAAATGTAGTGTGTTCTGAATTTCTTTTTAGGCTCTTAAGTTCAGAGAGATGGTTTGTTTTCATAAAACTTGCAGTTTCTCTTATTCCCCCAGTAAACAGATGTCCTGAAACCATTATTGTAATTTCATAGGACTTTAATAGTATTTGTAAAACTTCTTTACAATGCCAATTAGCAACTAATGTTACTACTCTTGGATTAACCTTTAGATGTTTTACACAAAACCCGTTTAAAATATTGGCTGCTGTTGTGTGTCCTCCAGGCAATGAGCATAGAAGGCCAAGACTCGATCTTTGGGCAGGAAAACTCTGCACAGAACAGCAGCCAGCCGCAGCTTCCTGAACCAGAGAACAAGATAGATGACTCCATAGACAACCAACAGCAGGTATTTGTGGACTATATGTACTTTTTGAGCAACATTACTGCTGCCAGATTTGATAATCTCTTGTAATTAACGTTGACCTTTTTTTTAATATAGGATATGGACCTGGACGAGGGTCCTGATGGAATGGAAGAGGAGATCTTTGAACTGGAGGAGAAGGAAACGACAACGACACGGTCCAGAACACGTTCTAGATCACGCTCAAGGTCAATTCTTTATTTATTTATTTTTATTCTTACTCTTCGTGACTGTTTTTTTCCCCTTCCCATCCTTAAAGACTAATGATAATTACAATAGTACCTCTGTAGAGCCAAGAAATACGAGACCTTTTAATGCAGCACATAATGATTACGCAGTGGTGTCACCATTATATCTGGATTGTGTCATGAAGTATGTATTAAACCAAGAACAAACGTATTAAAAATTTTAAACTGAGTCACTTATTTGCTTTTTTCAAGCTTTAAATTTCAGATTGGTGTTTTAAGTATTGAGCAGTCACGCACTTTGAAAACTGATTTAAATGCTTTAAAGGAGCTGACTGGTTAATTTTAAAGAGAACAAAAAAATTTGTTCCAAGAAAAGTTTCCAATTATTTTATTTCTTTTTTTTGTAGATCTCCCAAGCGAAGAAGGTCCAGGTCTCGCTCTGGCTCACGAAAACGTAAGCATCGCAAGCGATCACGCTCACGCTCCAGAGATCGCAAGAGGAAGACGTCACGGTCTTACTCAAGTGAAAGGCTTGCCAGAGAACGGGAGAAGGAGCGTCAGAAGAAAGGATTACCTCTTATACGTTCCAAGACTCTAAGTGGTAAGAGGAAGTCACTTTTACTCGTTAAATTTTTTCATTTTTAATTTTGTATCTAATTTTACTGATGGGTCATGCTTTTCATCCTTTCTTTTACCTACCTAGTGTGCAGTACAACTCTGTGGGTGGGGCAGGTGGACAAAAAGGCCACTCAGCAAGACCTCACAAATCTGTTTGAAGAGTTTGGCCAGATCGAGTCCATCAATGTAAGTAGACCTTGGTCCTGGTTAATACGCTGATGTCATTGCAGCATATCAGTCTGTTCTTTGATGTCCAAACTGAATTTAATTTACCTACATTTTAATATTACTGATGGACTGTTTTGACTATGTTTCTCTATAGTTCACAAATTCTGATTTTCTTAGCCATATGTGTTTTTTTGTTGTTGTTTTTCTCACCAGTAATAAAATAATGTTGATGTTATGTAGTATGGTCATATATTATTGTTTAACCTTCTCCTTCTATGTTATTTGAATTGTCTGTCTGCAGATGATCCCTCCCAGAGGCTGTGCCTACATCTGTATGGTCCACAGACAGGATGCATACCGTGCACTCCAGAAGCTTAGTACCGGCTCTTTTAAGATTGGATCCAAGATCATCAAGGTCCCCTTTCCTTTCCAATTTAATTCATTGTTGACCCAATCTCTTTAATGTATTCTCTAATTAAATTTGTCCATTGACCTCTAGTAGTAAAAGTCTAACTTTCTAAACCTCTTTTTACGCTGAAAGAAAATTATTTTTAAAAGGCTGTGTTGTGACCTTTGTGTGTCTGTTTGATTTAGATTGCATGGGCTCTGAACAAAGGTGTAAAGCAAGAGTACAAGCAGTTTTGGGATGCAGACCTGGGTGTCACCTACATACCATGGGAAAAGGTCAAAGTAGATGACCTGGATGACTTTGCTGAAGGGGGAATCATTGACCAGGAAACCGTCAATGATGGTAAAAACAAGTTTTTTTAAACATAAACAGTCAAGTGATTTGGTAGCACTCCTTGTTTAAAATAGCAAATCTTAAAAGTACAACCATCCCAATAAGCACTTCATGGGATTTTAGGTACAGAATTTGTTTCATGGTTTATTCCTTTTAATTGTTTGCAAAAATATAGTTTGTTGTTGTTGTTGTTGTTGTTGTTGTTGTTGTTGTTGTTGTACAAATGTTTCCAAAAGCACAATTTACATTAAGAGCCAGAAAAAAGAAGAAAAAAAATATTGTGATTATAAAGTTTATTTTTTCTTTATAACTTCAGAGTGGGAAACTCCTAAGAGTTCTGAACCAGCCAAGGAAGTTGCAAGTCAGCCAGTAAGCACTGAGGCTACAGTGGTATCCAATACACAGACTGAGACCTACAGCCATCAGGTCACTATGATGCCTGTACAGGTACACAAGAGCCTCTGTTGTACTCTATGGGAATAACTGTAAACAGCAAGGCTGAAGAATATGTTGCCTGGGTTGCTGTAATGTCAAATATTTTACATTTTCTTTAATACATTCATGTGTGTGTGTAAGACTTAACCTAAAGTTGTTGTTGTTGTTTTTTTTACACTATTATTCAGCTACCGATGGCTCAGGCAGTTCCCAGCGCAGTAGGGTTGGTGCCTCCTTCGTTTCCTGTTGCAATGACCATACCTCCTCCAGGCTACGGGCCACCACCACCGTTCATAAGGCCTGCATTTAATGCCTCACAGCCTCCACCAGGTAAGTACACATACTGTAAAGTAGGAATGTGCGATATGGCATAAAATTCATATCACAATATGTATTGTGAAGGGTGGCGATAACGATATATATCACAATATGCTTTTGGTCTAAAACTTGCAATAGGAATGAAAAATAAAGCACAGGGTGTCCTTTTGCCATCATTTATTTTGAATTAAGAAAATGCCACTACTAGGTCCAGAGAGTTTTTAAATAATAAACAAATCAAGTATTAGGCTTCTTCCTTGTGCAAAACATTGCAAAATTTATCCAATGTAGTTTTAGCCATATGTTTTAAACAAAAGAATATGTTGTTAACTCTTAACAGTTTCCAGTATTCTCACTTAAAAAATGAACAGCAACAGAGCAGCAAGTGCACGCTGAAAACACTTCACCCTCCAACCCTCTAGTGGGCGTCTCCTTCCGCTTTAAGGAGAGCTGACACAAAATGAGCCTGTGGCTTTAACCAGAGGGTCTCGCAGTAAAATCACACAACACTGCGTTCTTTTCACAGATCAGAGAGCAGGTTTATCTCAAGCTGACCAACGCTTACTTTAACTTTCGACAGGAAAAAAAATCCTTTCGACGGAACACGGCGTTTTGCGCATGCATCCGAATACGACAACACTACGGCAAGCCGGCCATAGTTTGCTTGTATCTTCGCTACTTAGCTCTCGAAGAAAAGATTTTAACACCACTTAGGCACAGTTTTCAACTTTAAAAAAAGTAACGATTAAACTGACAACTCTGATTTTACATCAGACACAGCATTACTGTGGTTAGCCGGTAGAAGACTGATCTCTATCGTAGGCTAAATTTCTATCGTTTCTACCGTGTACCGTATATATCGCGCATTCCTACTGTAAAGGTAAATATAAAATCTGATGTGCATACATTTTCTATCTCACTCTTTTTTTCCTCTGTTTCATAGGTTTTTTGCAGGCCCAACATACAGCAGGAATGGCCTCAGCAACTGCATGTAAGATATTTGTCAGCTCCCTTTATGACTCTTTATGTTTATGAAATACCATTTTACCTTTTGTAATAATTTGTTTGTTGTTGCTCATCTGTAGCTTTAGTGCAGCCACCTGTGTCCACCAGCCAAGAAGCTGTCAAAGAGGCACCATTCAGCAGTATGCGTCCTCCAACAAGCACTATCCCTGGCAGCTTCATGCCCTCAGCCATCCCTGGACCTGGCATTTTTCCCCCAGTGGGAGTCCAGACTCAGCAAGCTAACAATGAGAAAATTCCACAGTCTACAAATGGTATGGGTGCTGCAGCAGAGCTCGCACTACAAGGTGATTCATGTTTGATTGTGTTTAAGCACCTGGTTTTGTTTTTCTCCACTGAGAAGACTTTTAACATTTATTTCTGTTATGTTTTGTTCTCAGGCATGCAGAATGCAGTCCGTAGTGGGATGGGCCTGCTTGGCATCCACCCTACAGCTTCCCTCACACATCCACTGCATCAGTCTGGGATGAGTGGTCAGAGGATGCCTGGGTTGTTGCCCCTGGATGTGCGACCTAATCTCCTTCAACAAGGGGCTGCTGCCCGCTTTCCACTCCTTATGCAGCAGGGTCCTGCCCATCTTGACAGTTCCCTCCATGCTCAGGCCCGCCCCAGGGCCCCCTTTCCTCATATGGACCTCTTCAACAGGACCCCCAACCTTACCAGTGAAAATGTATCCAAAACAGAAGATGAGTCTTCATCTGGGGCTGATGAGGGTAAAGACCAAGACTACCGCTTCCCACCAATAGAAAAGCAGAGTACAGGCCTACTGCGGACCCCCCCGCCAGAACACAGGGAGCCCCTTGTAGGTGCTGGAGGTCCGGGAGGAGGAAGACCTCCTTTGCTTCAGACCCCAGGAACTCAGCCAGGCAGATCCAGCTTGGTGGGACGTTTGCATGCTCTTGCAGGCTTTACTCCTGATAACCGCTGGAACCAAACCAAAGGAGACTTTGATGAGCGAGGCGGAATGCGAGGAGGACCACATGCCTCAGGTGGTCCAAAAGGTTTTCAGGATGAACGCCCCTCCCCTGGGCAGAACTTCTCCAGTCGTTTCGACAACCGTCCCGGAGTAACAGGTGGAGCTGGACCTGTTGGGGGCCCACAACCGTGGAACCGCGGAGGTGGTGCTACAGCTCCTTTCAGCAATGAACTTCACAAAGACCTGGATGACCGAAGACGTCCATGGGAGAGACAAAGAGACAGAGATGAAAGAGATGTTGACTTTAGAAGAGACATAAATGGTAACCGTCAAAGCCGCGAGAGAGAGCGAGAAAGGGATCGAGGACGAGAACACACCAGAGAACATGAGCGTGGTGAGAGTGACAAAGAGAAGGAGCGTGAGCGTGGAGGTTGGACGCCTCTTCTTCCTCTCCCTACACCACTTCTTCCCACTCCTCCTATTAATCCCAACTTAACGTTAAATCAAGGTAAACTACTTGTTCCTCTGAAATTTAATCCCCAGATTCAGCCACGATTCCAGTCTCCACTTTTCTCTCAAAGTCAGGCCAAATCTCCCCTCCTGGGTCTGAAACATCCTCTCCCTCTGGCTCAAATGAGGTCTCCTCCCCCATCACAGAACCAAGCACCTGCTCCTGAGCCTCAGTCTAAAACCCCAGATCTTGCTGAAACACCTCGGGCACAGTCAGCTCGTTCCCCCCGCCCATTATCTGACAGCCCAGGTCAGAGTACATTAACTGAGCCTCCTACTCAGCCTGAGCCAAAACCAGAAACCCCAGCTCAAATTCAGTCACCACCTCAGACCACCACTTGTCCTGACACTATGACCCAAAGTCCTCACTCACTTTTGGCTGTCACACAAGCTGATGCCCCCACTGAAGATTCAACTTCCTCTGTGGAAAAGCAGGAAGAGCCACAGAAGGATGAGGACGGGTCACAAGAAAAGAGATCCTCTACGCCACAACCTGAGTGGGTCAATGGACCCGAGAAGGACCGTGTCAATGTGGCTGAGCTCGCATCAGACCCTGAACATCGTTCTTCGCTCTTTGAAAGTGACACTGAGCCGAAGCAGGAGCAAGTGTCATCTCCTAAGGACCTAAACAATGAACAGAAGGAGCCCATGGAGGAAGCTCAGAGTCAGCCAGTGGTAGACACTGTCACAGACACTGAGGGGACATAATCATCACTCAGTAGGTAAAAGATCATTTTGTAAAGTTGTCTCTTCTTCTCTGTACTCATGTCAGCAAACTACCACCCCAACACGGGACATGACGAACATTGACCCACACCAGTTGTTGTCTGATAACCAACAACAAATGATTTTATCTCTTACAAATAACCGTGTACTTAAATAGGAGGCTTTATGGATAGAAGATTTTGTTTGTATTTTATTTCGTTTTTCCTTTTTTAAGTTGTAAAACCACACCACCCCTTTTAATTAATATAAGCTTGGGAAGTTTTATTGAATTGTCTGCCAACATGTTTCAGTTGTATTTGGGGAAATTTAGCTTCAACCTTCCTATGGAAGAAAGCGAGGAATCCTGGCTGTTCGATGATAAATTGACTGCAAAAAAAATGTGATACTTGAAAACAGCAGCTGCTCGCCAATTTCTTCTGTCTCCTCTCTTCTTTTAAAATATACTGCAAAGTTTTGCAACAATTGCTTTTATTCTGTTTCTACGCAGAACAAACAGCCTACATGCAGTCACACCAGAGCAGCTGCTTTAGATTGGAAAATAAAATTGCATTGCAATAAAAAAAACGTCAAACTGTTGTTTCTACTAAATTAAGAACGGTCTGAAATTTGTTTCTAATAACACCATGAACACAAATTACATTTAAATACTAACGAGGTAAAAAAAAAAAAACATGCAAAATAATGAACAGAAGGATGTTCTGATGTTGGGTACATAATGTTTTAGTTTGAAATAAACATGCTTTGTTTAAAACATGCTTTAGCAGTTTCCTGACCAAGCACCAGTGGAAAACAAAGACTGCTTTACTTTTCAGACTCGTACACACTGTGTGCTGTCACTTCAGTCGATTTGATGATCTCAAGTTGCTGCTATACCATCTATCTACAGAGCACTTTGTTGGATGCAACCGTGGGACTTGTAGTTTCTAGCTTCTGATGACTTCAGCCTGTATGTTGGCCTAAGCTTTTGCTGGGTGACTGGTGATGATAGCATTGTGCCTTTTTTGAATGGATTTGTCGTTCACGATGCTATCCAACACTTCTGTGTGACGTACACCAGACTGTGCGTGCAACTCAGTTTCAGAGGGCTCTCTGGAGAGAATGCTACCTGCACAGAACTGACATACCTACTGATTGAATGATAGCTGCACAGTTTGTATCGCACTCTCCTAAAGGAGAACATGTTCTCCATCAGACTGTGCATGCGGGCCTGTAGCCATGTTTTAACCTTTCTGTCTCTCTTCTTCGTTTCATACTTGTAGTGGTTTTCTGTTGAAACATACTACCAGAAATCTATAGTCTGCTGTTCTCTCAGAGCAAATGTCTACTACAGGAGTTGTGATGTTGAATAAAAGTTGAAGGTGCATCAGATATGTTGAACTTGTTATTGTCATATATTCTAATTCAGGCTGAACAAATGACTTCCTTCACACACAACAGTCCAATTTGAAGCTGAAGACAAGGAAACGGTTACACCAGACACATATAAAACCTTGCACGGTAGTTTAAAGGGACATGCCTGTCAAAAATGCCAAATTTGAAGCTTATGATAAAAAATAATTTGAGCTCTAGACATATGGTACAATCAAATATTCAAAAAATGCATAAATTACTACTTATTGTCTTTAAACATTTTGACTAGGCTTTATTTGAAAATGCCACAAATGATAAGAGACATTGTTAAAGACTTAAACAAGACAAATGCACTGCAACATCCATTCATTCAAACTTTATTGAGAAGAGCCAATTAAAGAAAATGGTATTTAAAAAAAAACAACAGATAAGTTGCAAAGCGACGTAGAATACTTAAAACAGGAACATGTCTGCTTTGGTTTTTGCCAGGAACTTAACAGATCTTTGAAGCTACTTAGAGAGGTCATGGTCAAGAGCATCAGATCTTTTTGCAAGATATTCCAGGAAACAGGAGCGGAGTAGGAGAAGACCATTTTTGCCTAGTTCAGCCCGCACTGAGGAAACACTGCATGTAATAATGTCCTGAGAGCGCACGTTGTAGCTGCACTCACAAAGTGACATGTAGGAGGAGATGTATGAAGGCAACAGACCAAGAAGTGATTTAAAGATAAAAATGTACCAGTGAGAGAGTGCGTGAAGTTAATGGTGTCTAGTTAACCAGTGAATACAGGGTGCAATGGTGGGTACAGTAGTTCCAACCAGTTATAAATCTTAGCGCACAATGATAGACAGCATCCAACATCTGCAGGGTGCTTGTAGGAGCGTTCATATAAATAATGTCACCGAAGGAAAGTCACTGTTACAAGGCGTTTCCTAGCATTCAGAGTTAGACAGGATCTATTTCTGAAAATGAAACCCAATTTAACTTTCAGATTCCTTACCAAGTTTTCCACGTAGTGCTTAAAAGAGAGAAGCGAATCGACCAAGATACCCAAATATTTGTAGGAATCGACAAACTCAATAGGAGCACCATTCAAGGATAAAATTGGAAGGAAGAACTGCTGGGACCAACTTCCTGTTTGAAACCAACAACCCTTTGGTTTCGTCGGCGTTTAGGACAAGTTTGAGATGGAGCAAATCTGACTGGATGATGTCAAAAGCTGGAAAGCCTTAGCAACTGTTTTAGCTCGACAATAAACAACTGTATCGTCAGCATAAAAATGGAAGAATGCATGATGGTCTGACCTACATTACCTATATAGATTATAAAGAGGATGGGACCTAAAAATGAGCCTTGAGGTACACCATTGTTAACCGTTAAGTAACATGAGACATGCACACGTACACATGTACATCTACACATGCACTGGTAGTTTCAGTGCTGAAGACCCACATTACCATGCCATCCCATACCATTTTATTTGTAGAGCACTTCAAACAGCAACAGGGCCAACCAAAGTGCTGTACAAACAGAAACAAACAGGCAAAGCACACAGCAACATATAAAATAATAAATAAATAATAGCAGATAATAGCATAATGACTAACAAAGTGTGATGCATACAGGTTCAACACAGATCATACAGTGTTGAAAGCCAGGGAATAGTAGTGGGTTTTTAAGCAGGATTTAAAAACTGAGGGAGGGGGCCTGCCTGACAAGCAGAGGTAACTCAGTCCATAGTCTTGGGCCTGCGACAGAGAAGGCCCTGTCACCTCTGCGCTTAAGATGGGTTCCTGGAACTGAGAGACGTAACTGGAGGAAACTTTGACTGAAACTACAACTATTCAAAAAATAATACACACTGCAAACTTATTCTTTATTGGTTTGCTGCACATTTATAAGTAAAAACATTAGTTCATAGCATTTAGTTATTAAAACAGAAAACAAAAAGTTTAAACATATTTTTACAGACTATCATACAGATCACATTAACAGTTTGAATTTTCCCCTGTGATCATTAAAAGTATCTATCCACCAACTTTAACCTCATTTATTTGCAGGATTTTCTTTAATAAGATGGTATGAGTGCCATTTTGAAAGATGCAGCCACAGATAAATAGGGCACAGAATAATTTCCTTTTATAAAAGATGTTCCAGTGTTTATTTTGCAAAAGGAGATAATGAATGCAAATAAGCTCCTCCCCTTCACATTTTAAAGACCAAATTGATTTTTAGTTTACATGAAATTAAAGATTGTGACAACCAGTATCGGAGAAAACTACATCTATAATTTTAAAGTAAACTCCCAACAAGACCTGAAGGGTTGAACAAAGTCCTGTTTTAAACTTTCAACACTACGTAATAAACTATTTCACACCTAACAATAAAGGTGTGAATCATTACTAAATTAGACAACTAAAGTTTCCTCTGAATATTACACACATGACCTTTATCATGGTGTCTATTTTTATAAAAATCACCTGGTGCTTACTTTGCAGAACAAAAGGGAATAAATAAACTGGAAAAAGCAGAGGGGGGAGATGTCTTTGGCCTCCTGTCATTGTCAGGACTCAGCAGCTTGAGCAAGTGTTTTACTCAGCACCACCTCATCTGCTCCTTAATCCAAACAAAACAAATGCCTTTTTTTATTTTTAGTTGTTTGTTTTTTTTTACTTGAAACTTATCTACAAATATGATTTGAGAAGCTATGCCATTTAGTATCTTTGATTATGACTCAGACCATAAATTTGAGGCTACCACCCAGTTAAAGCCTGGGCACTCAGCCAGGTCCAGAGCCTCCCTGACCCCCGGTGAACGATTTGACTGGCTGAGACTTTGAATCAACCTTTATCTGCCTCCGAACAGACATGTGTAAGCAGCAGTTGGTTGCTGCTTTCACTGACAGTAACAAAATAAATCCCAACTCTACAGATCTTCCAGCATCCATTTATTATTTGTAGCAGGGCAAAAGCCAAGCCCTGATTTGTTTGTTTATTTTTCTATCCAGAAAACGTGATAAAATATACTTTTTTTAATTTTAATGTGGATGCCAGGTCTGGGTTAGAGTAGGATTAAATGTAAAGTTTTTATTATTATTAAGTCTACACACTTATTTCCTATATGAGGTGTAATGCTTTAACGCATGGGTCCTCAAGAGCCACTATGCATGTTTTAGATGTTTTTCTGCTTCAACACAACTGACTTGAATCAATAGGTGAATAACAGGCATCTGCAGAACGTAAAGAGGTAATTCAACCATTGAATCAGGTGGGTTGGAGCAAGGAGAAAAGTAAGCATGCAGGATAGGAGCAGGATCGGCCACCCATGCTTTAACGTTTGCACATCATGCTAGGCAGGTCTGAGTCGAGAGCAAAGTACCTCTGACCTTTAGCTGCGTATTACTCCAATATGGGCCGCTCATTAGATCACCAAAGCCATTATAGCATGAAAATATTAATACACAGCTAGCCCGATGCCCCAGTTGAAGTTGTAACAATCGGTTTCAGCTGCAGGTTGGATGTGTTCCTTTTGTGAGGAAGTCTATTAGAGCAACTGGTGAATTCCATATGCTGACTTTAAGGCCTGATTTAATGTACAGACACCATTTTTTTAGTAATTAGTAATAAAGGTGCATTCCCTTCACAGATAGCTGCTGTAAAGTCAGTACCGTGTCTGACCATCTGAGGTCAGTATGGCACCATCACACCTGGGTTCAGTTTAATATCTGCAGTGCTTGCCTTTTCTATTATTTTATTTTCTAACCAAAGCAACCCCCCCACAACCTGTGTACAGAAGTGCTTTCAAAGCAACGTTAAGTTTTAATGCAAGAAGCAAAAGGTTAAGGTTAAAAGAAAAAATATATATATATATTCACGAGCGTCTCCTTGATTTAAATGTATTCTCCAAAATCTTCCTGCTGGATCAATAAAGGAGTTATGTGATAAATTGAACGAGGTTCTTTGAGTGTTAGCTTTGGCTCGCTTTTGCCGTTTCTCAGTTGCAGCATTCTTGATTGATTAAAACTATTGATTAGGCCTCCCAGAGCAGCCGGACCAAAGTCGGCCTCTATCTGCCTCCACCAGATACTCAGACAATGGGGCCAAATGGAGCGAGGCTAAGTGTTGGTGGTTGTGTGACCACTAGCACAGAGTCATGAGTGAAAGAGATGGTTTGAACAAAAACAAATGCCTGACCATCAATCTTTTGTTCACCTGATTAGGCAGGGGAGGAATCCCGTATCTCGGCTCACACTCTGCCTTCACAGTAATAACACTGTGGGAGTGTGCCCAACTTTTGGGCTTCTTTCAAGAAGCCACTGCCCGT